TAAAAAACCCCTAGTTTGGTCCAAGGAAATTTATAATTTAAAGTATTTTTTGGTTTTTAAAAACGTGCACTTAAAATTTAAATCTAAGCATTCAAGTACATCAAGTAGAGGCAATTATATTCCATATTACATTGCACGTGCCATAACCTTATACTTTATACATGTATGAGTTTATAAATTCATAATCGCTATACATGTACTTTAGTTACTATAGTATATGTCACTATAACATAGCCAATTAATATCATACAAAGTTGATAAAATTGGTTGTCATGTTTCGAGAAATGTGCGTAATGTAATGATTGCAAAGCAGCGTTTCGTTTCAAACTTGTTTGAATATAAGAACAATTTGAAGGTGTCCGGATGTATTTAAAGCGTTAGATGCCGAGTTAAAATGTAACGAAACATTATTACTTTATCCAGCATCAGATTTCATTCATTCTTAATTATCACTTATAATACACTTACATCTAAATGCATTGAAAGAATATTTTCAAATACATTTTTAAATCCCCTTTTTACTTTGTTATTATGATCATTTTCTTTATAAATAGACTGTAGAAAAGCTATCTGAATAGCTGCATAAATATGTTTCTTAACAAATAATCGACTAAGTTCATTCACCTTAACTCATCTCTTAATTGCTAGAAGGAAAAAGTTTAAAGTGCACTTGATTGTCTCCACAATATAATCTTAAGTAGTACTTATAAATGACATTTTATTTTGTAACTTTTCCCGCTAAATGCGGATGTCATCATTTGTACTTAAACATGTAATCTAATTGTTAATGATACATGACGTATTTATACAAGAGGTGATATCATCGTTTCCTGAACAGATTATAAATGTGTCGAATAGATAGGAACGTTTTAAATTAGCTTAAACAGCGTACTCCTCTTTCCTTCCTTAGTGACTGTCACATGGTCGAATTTTCTATGGTAGCTGATTAACGCCATCTCTAATTGCGCGTGCTTCATGGACGAAAAGTCGAACGACTTTCATTTTATCAAGATTTTTATCATTCATCCCAAATACTCGAAAAATGGCAGATCTGCTGCGAAAAAATATTTCTATTTAATAATTTGAGTTCTGTCTGTCGTTTACTTTCATTTTATGACGAATCAGAAATGAAAATACGGCAAAACTGAATGTTGACTTTTACTTCTCCTTTAATACAATGCTCATATCTCATATGATTGTAGTTTATCAGCTCTATTTCGTTTCTAATAATTTATATCACCGCTTCCTCTTGCTTATTAACCACATCAACAATATCCACACACGGGAGAATATAGTTCGGTGACATTTAAGTAAATTACAAAGATATGTGCAAAGATGTTTGTTTAAAATAATAAATTTTGGCGTGTCATAAAAAAACTGCTTGAATGATTCATTATATGAGACACGTCATGACAAAACCAACATAGTGCGATTGCGACCAGCATGGATCCAGACCAGCCTGCGCATCCGCGCAGTCTGATCAGGATCCATGCTGTTCGCTATCAGTTTCTCTACTTGTAATACTAAAAATAAACTAATGTTGCTCTGGCTGTACCACCTGGTCGCAAGTGCAAACACTTAATCGATGCCGAATGACGGTGAGTGTAATAGTCTCAGCGGGGTTCCTACTTCGAGGCCCTCAGTCTTAACCCCAGCATGTAGACAGCAATAATTATTTTTTTCTGATTTGTACAATACCGTAGTGTCATATAGTCACTGAGAGGTCTGGGTCAAGAAGCCTTATTTTTGAATGACTTTACTCGGACTTATTTCTTGCCACCCAGAGCCTCGAGGGAAATAAATTTTCGAGTAAGAACTAAAGGATATAAGTCACCAGGGAAATAAATCTTCGAGTAAGAGCTAAAGGGTTTGAACTATATTGATAAATAATCTTAGAAAATTCAAAACTGGCCTTCCATCAGGACTTAAAGTACTTTGATTATATGAGTCTTTTGTTTTATTATATTTAAACACATTCTCGTTTAGGTGAAATAAGATTAATATTATTAATGTAAAATGATATCGGCGAGAGATTTTCTATATACATGTATTCCATGTATGTCAAAACCGCAATTATTTTAATTATGTCAGTACTGATATCACGTGATCGTCTCACGAGCCTGGCAGTGTCTGACATTAAGTATATGTGTTTCAACAACATAAACCTTGCGGAGGTTTTGTACCCGTAACCAAAGTTCAGATACCATGCCAAAAGCTTGTTTACTTTCTTTACTATATGTTTTAAGCCAAGGTCACGTACCAACTGTATTCATAAAATTGATGGTTGTAATCAATATATAGCGATAGTTATTTAGTCGGGATGTTAAAACAGTGTACCTATTGTTGTTGAAACAAAATTGTAAGAAACATAGTAACGACCACCTAATGAATTTTTTTTTTCGACAGGCATGCTACTTAAATTTTATCTACTCTAGACATTTTATGTAATGATATATTAACAAACACATCTACCTACATTTTTTTACATACACATTCACATTCAGCGCAAGATTTTCAACATATTCCCACGAGTAATGGTTAATTGTTAACATGACTGTCAACCTCTTTTCTTTCAACATTTCATCTTTTATAATGATAAAAGTCGAACAATACTAATACTTATAATAAGCACTTTATTTTACGAAGGAAGCTTATTAAGACAATACATCAAAGCATTAGACATAATTATAATCTTTTTTCAACATTTTGTCACTTTCATTACTTGTATTAATAGTGGACACTAAAAGCTTGTACTTCTGTCAAGAATGCAAGTTGCTAACATCCGACACACGCAACTGATAATCTAACTACGCACCTCTGGCATCAGACATAATGTAAATGCAGCTTTTAAATAATCTTAAAAAAAGAAACTTACAAAATTGCAAAATATCATACAAAATAGGTTCACTTTGAGCATGAAATATGTTATCCAGTTAGTAAAATTGTGAATGGATAGTAAAGCAAAATTAACCTGCACGGATGTTTAAACGGTGCTGGGGGGGGGAAGGTGGCGTCAGGTCAGGCATATTTAATTTTTCCAATTATTCCTCATCAAATCGAGCCAGCAATTTTCATGAAATTTTGTTGCTTTCATTGCTTCCGAGGGAGTTCCCCTTTTCCAAATTTTATTTAAAAACTTTACCTCCTTAGTTGCATATTTCTTTCATTATTAACATCACTACTCAATGTATCAAATGTATCAAAATGCATGTAATTCATTCTCTTAATTGTTACGCTATGCTTTATATGTTGGTTTACATTTCCATTTTACACGTAACTGCATTCTGGGAATTTCTTATATATTATTTCTTATAATATTATTTCAGATAACTTATAATATCAATGTTCATAGTTTCTGTTGCATTACTAGAACTTTCTTTTCGAAGTTGTTGTTTGTGGTTAATTCTATTGTTATTCAAATAAAAGGTCATAGTAGGGATTTATTAATTCAATATACTGGAAAGTAGTGTGTTTTTATTGATATAGTGTTTTCTCTATATTGTAGGAGCTGACACAAGGTCAGAATGTGTGGCTTCGTATGGATTTGGTAACGACAATTTTGGCTTCGGTGGTGATTCATTCGGTGGCGAGGGCTTCGGTGGAGATGGGTTTGGATTTGGTGGTATGGAACCAGACGAATTTGAAGGATTTGGGTTTGGTGGTATGGAGCCAGATGAATTTGGAGGAGGATTCGGAGAGGCTGGTGAAGGCTTTGGTGGGATGGGAGGGTTCGGCGGTGGCGCTTCTGTAACAGGGAAACTCTTTTGTCCTAAGGGAAATAGAGGAAGCATTTTGGTTAAGCGAATCAGGTTTGGAGTGAGCACATTTCCTGGGACTTGTCAGAGCGTTCCGTTTTGCAAAGAAGTTTTTGAAAACGGCGAACAGTTGGCAAAGAAATGTAATGGCGGATCTACATGCTCTATCAATTCATTACAGCCTAAGTTTTTGAGTTGTGGACGTCCCAGCACTTATATGCTTGTAGAATACGAATGTGTAGATAGTAAGTAAAATCAATCTACCGAGTTGTGCAAGTGGATGCGTGGTAGACGGGGAAGGCAAGTTGTTCCTTGTATGACTATTTTCATCATGGAAGCAGACGATAACAGTTCGGATGCTATTTTTATTGTCGATCAAACAGAAATTGATTTATTCTGAACAAGACAAAATACTATCATTTCTTCTCCAACTGGGATTACTCTATTTTAATTGTTTCTTTTAAAAAGTATTTTCCTGTGCTTTTAGCAGACCGAATGATTTTGTTGCTACAGGCTATATATTTCAACAATTTTAACTAATGATGTTTTACATTCATTTCAGTAATTTGCAAACACTGTTGTTCACCTGTAATTGATGTATGAAGTGGGAGGGAATATTTTAGAATTACTTATGTTTGTATATGTATAAATAATTCAAACAGATTTAATTTTTAGTGACATTATACTCATTGTTTCATTGTCAAGTTGAGCTGAATTGACTATATAATTAAGAAGATTGACTGTTAAAATAGTGATTGAACAACAATTGATAATGGAAAATGTTTAGGAAAAAATATGAATCTGCCTAAAATAAAAATGACTGTCCCACTCTTTTTTATGAATTCAGATGGATTCCATGGGCCTCAAAATAATTTATCATTCATGCCAAGCTCGCATGTCACTTTAAGTATTAAAATATTCGAGTTTCGTTTCATGGACGTGAGTATTATTAATACATTGTGACTTTTTTCTTTCTTTAATATATTTACTCGGGCATTAACATTTTAGCTTGGGCGACATTCGAGATATGCGAGAGCGTGAATACAGTGGCACGTGGGGCGTCCGTCATAATAACATCACCTGGGTATCTGGGCACGTCGAGCACCGGAATGTCAGGGGTTCAGATGTGTGAGTGTATTATGAGGTCAAAGGACGGGGCTGATATGTACATGGACTATCTACAGACTCAACTGTCAAGGTCAGACTTTACACACTTATCCTCTTGTTTTAAATATTGCCTCGTCACCACTGAGAGCGCACTTGCCTATGGACCTTTACGGTTTTCTGTAGCGGAACATTTAGCCCCACCTTTTCCATTTATTTCTAGGTCAACTGTTCACAAACAGTATCACAAACATAACCATGTGTTCTTTTGTGCAACCAGGTCAACCAGTGATTATGTATTATATCAGTGTAGCAATTGGATAACAAGTTAGCCAATTTACATAAAACTGTAAACACTGAAAAGGTCCAATAGAACATATAGACTCTTTATGGATTAAAGATATCATTGTATTTCGGAAATATTCATCTTTATCATAAGTTTGAAAAACAACACATCTTGTGAAGAAACAATTTCTCGGCTATCCTGGGGATTTGTTTAATTTTCAAATAAAATGATTTATTCTAATTATTCACAGTTATTTCCAATAGGTCATTTGACTTTGGTCTGAAATTATTTATCAAGAACTTGTTTATAAAAAATACAATTATAATTATATTTTTAATACAGCCAAGGTGACCAGTGTCCGTATGATTTTGTTCTGGTGGAGAGTAAGAAGAACATTAACCAGACTGGTATAGATAAAGAGATAGAAGTTTGCGGGAAACAGCACGTGGGCGGTAGATGGTTACAGGGCGCTGTTCGAATTAGCTACGCATCTGGAGGGCCAATGAAGAAGCAAGGATTGCTGGCAAGGTTTACGGGTAAAATATAGTGTACTCTACTTAGAATTAATAGAATACATTGATTTATAAAGACAATAGCTGTTTCAGAAACCGTTGAATCCTTTTCTGGCTAGGGTATTAACGTATGCCTTCTTTGTACTTTTATAGTACAACAATGATCAATAATAAAGCAATTAGACACTTCGATGATGTAAAGTGATAAAGCATAGCGATCGTGCATCCATTCTTAAAAACTGCAGCGCAAATAAATGTGACAGTAACTTTATAACGTAGTTACTAAAATAAATTCTCGGCTATTACTTTATTCTATGTCGACAACGTTAACAGATTCAAGTTTTCTTTTTTATGTTAATATAAATACTTATTTGATGTTAAAAATAGATACAGATGATCATGATCAGAAGAAATATCATTCTGATTATAACGTCACAGTAATACACATGTATATCTTCATGTTTTAGCCGACAACATAGGTAATAAACCTATGATCGAGTTAGAATGTGGAAAAGTTGACACTAAGGGCCTGAAACTTCTCCAGAGACCGCCAGCACCGGAAACAAGGAAAAACGAGGGAACCATGCCGTTCCGTCCCGGATTTGGGATGCCCATGATGCCAATGATGCCCCAGTTTCCAACACCCACCGCTTCCGGCCCTAAACCAACATGGAATATTAAAATTGCAAGCGACCCACCTGTAACTAGAAATCAAGAACCTACCCTGAAAGTAAATTTGCCAATGAATACATTCGTGCAATCGCCATCATTTGTAAATCCCTCGGAGAAGGCAACGCAACATGTGGCGGAAAATAAGCCGCCAGTAAAGAATCAGCCAAAAAAGAACGAAAACAACCGGAATCGAGGACGACCGCAAGGTGGCGCTGGTCGAAGACCGCCAAAGAAAAATAATGCAGGAAAAGTTGTGGCAGATGGTGAATCTTCTGTAGAAAAGACGAACGCTGAGAACCAAACTTCCGGTAAATAATTGCATTGCCATTTGCGTTTGCATAATAGGTTTCTATTGATTATATAGTAAATACCATTATACCACTAGATCACTACCTAAGTAGCGTTTTATATAAAGCATGGTATAATTTCATTCAAAAGGACAAACAAAATATATATTTCAATATTTGTTATAAATGATTTATAGAAAAAGAAACATAAGAGTAATTATATGCATGTATGAATTTACCCTGCCAAATTAGCCTTTAAACTTCACAATACATTTAAAAGCGTTTCTTAATATTTACTATATTGATCTAATTAATTCGAGCAAAGCCATGGTTTTGATATATCTTATTACAGGTGGTATGGTGGCACTGGTTTTTGCCGGGATAGGGGCTGTCCTCATTTTGGGTTCGGTTGGAATCCTGTTTCTTCATAATTACAGAAAGTGAGTTTGAAACAGTTTTATGACGCTTGATGTTCTGATACATATAAATTAGCTATACTTATTTACAACTTATCATTTCCTGTATACAGCTAGTGTAACGTACAGTCAATCACTTCACATACACTGACATATTTGTCTCTAATTCAGATCTTTTTAATGTTTCCGTCTATAAACGGGTCGTCGTGTGTTCGAATCTCGCACAGAACGGGTTTTTTTTAATGATTTACAATTTTATCTATTACGAATTATAAGAATGGGAATAATAGCTTTGTACATTTATTTACACGCAGCAAGTTTGCAATTTTCACATATCTTTAACGGACAATGGTCTCTGTAACTCACCTAAATGACAGATCTTTATTTGTGTTGTACAGTCTAAATATGTACATTACAAATACAACACTCCGGTAACAATGTCGTAAGTAATAAAAGCAAAAGATTGCAATACCAGCTGTAATCATAAAAATAATAAAGGGATTTTTTTTCTTCAGACGTCAGAGAATAAAGCGGGAGGAAGAAGTTTACGCTTCCGGCGGAAGTGCCAGTGAGACGTATGGGAAAGGTTGGGAAGTAGCTTCTGACGGCGAATCTATTTATGCAACTGTTGCAGACGTGGATGCACATAGAGAAGGTTGTGTAAACCCTGCTGTTGGAACTCATGACGAATGTGAAAGAATGGATTCCCAGGCTAAAATGAAAGTCATTAGAAGCAGTAACGTTGCCACCAGTGAAGATGACAACGATGATATCCCTGATTCGTATGATAAAATCGTCCTGAAGACTCAGACCAAAGTTCCTGGAAACAATTGTGAGATTGCCGTCATTGATGTGCACCAGAGTTTCGATGCAGACGACAATAAGCCAAAAAACCTGCACAGCGAAAATTGCCTCCTCAGCAGTAACTATGCCATTTCTGAAAAGGCCACAAATAGATGTGATGAATGTAACATCGTACGACCACCACGGCGCAAAGATACCGAGAGAGAATATAGTACCGGATATGACAACAACGTCGGCGTAACACGTCATATTAAATGAGTAAATACCGGAAGTGGATTAAAACTTACTTATCCTTATATCATGACCGCTTAACTGAGGGAAAAAAACTATGTCTCAATGTGTAATTTATTCTATTTATTTCTCCGTTTCTATTTATTTATTTTTGTTAGTTTCTGTAAAAAAAATGTAGCGTAGTGAAATATACAGAATTGTTAGAGAAACGTGGTTCTATTTATTATATATGTGGGATTTCTTTCTTTCACGGACTAATGTTTTTTATTAATTCATTAAGTTAAACTATATTTTAGACGTTACTGTTTTAAAAGGTTTCTTATACATATACGTTTTTCGTACCTATCTTATGAAATTAACATGGTAATAAAACCTGGGTAAAATGCGTTTAATTATATTGGGGAGAACTAATTTAGTGCAAGTCAAGAAGGTTTATACTATAGTATTATATAGAAAGTAGATGATGCTATTTTATCCTCTTTCTTTGCGAATTCTTATTAAACAGTCATGCTTATAGCACAAACTTGTTATACCTGAATTACTTAGGGCACTTTTATTACTTAATAGTGAAACTGATCATTCACAGCTTACTGTTATAAATATAATTACATTTATACCATGTTTTGGACTGTTTCTTCATGTTGAAGATGCAGACGAAGACAAATGTTGTAAATTTTCATAATAATATTTGCTCCTTAAAAAAAGGCTCCTGCGCGCTTTTAATTTTAGTCTTTGCATTGCACTAGTTGTCATTCCATAAATAATAACATCATGTAACTTTTTGACAGAATATTCAAGGATGGTTACTAAAAATAGATTTAAACCTGCATGTGTTTCTATGGTTGAGAAACAGATATGTACGAGGATCTTACCAGGAGTTGTAGAGAAACTGATAGCGGACAGCATGGGTCCTGATCAGACTGCGCGGGTGCGCAGGCTGTTCTTGATCCATGCTGGCCGCAAACGCACTATGTTGGTTTTGTCGTGACGCGGCTCCTATATATTGTATCACCTTTTTGCTTTATGCATCATTTTTGGTGTTTAGATACTTATATAGTATATAGTAACAATCTTGAAGAGCTGTTCATGATGTATTAATTTCCTTGGTAACAAAATATCGAAAACCTGAATGAATCTTTTCTCTCATCATGCATGCTTAATAAAATAGTTTGACCACAATATAGTGTATTAGTTATTTTATTTTTCCTAGTTATGAATAGATTTTTGCATGTACTAAACAATTTAAGACTTTAAAAGAACTGACAGTAAATGCAGCACTTAACAGAACAACAACATCAATAACAACAACAACAACAACTTAGTGCATTAACTATGTCTCTGGTATAACAGAATTTACGTGATTAATAGTTATATAGTTATATCCGATATATTATCTTATTATTATATTAACCATGGCTTATAAAAAATCACTTATTATTTTTAAATAATAAAATATTCTGAAATGTTACAGGCGCAGTAGTTTTCATTTCAAACATTTTTATATGTTTAAAGACCAGAGTAAAATAGTTATGATTTTGATTTGGACAACTACATATTGCGAGAAAATATAATTGATAAATATGATAATAGCGTGTAATAAGGACTTTATCACTGCGGATATCATATCTATATATAGTAAATTAACAGTCCATAGTCTATCACTGTAGTATATACATGATTGGTATATTATCTTCACTCAATATTATTGTCACCAAAATCAAACACGTCAATCATCAATGGCTACCGTGTTCAGTAGAACAATTTTAACATGGATAACATTCGGACTTGTAACCAGGGTGCATAGCGTACCACCCTTGCCCACATGGCCATCTGTTTACAAGGTAACTCTTCTATTACCAGATATATACTAAAAAATACTACAAATAATGTACAAGTACCTATGTCGGACTTATAATAATAGTAAAAATAATTCACTAGCAGGTTCTAGCAGATCTTCAAACTCCGACGCAGTGGCCTCTCTTTGCGTCGCTTCTATTGGAGATTTGCAGATCTTGTCTGTGTTTTTTCCCTATATATCATAACTGCTTGTTGACAGTTTATATCTCTGACTCGCATGAACCATTATGTTGTCATGGATTAAAAATGGATAAATTTCTGATGAGATGCAAGAAAAATATTCACATTTCTGAGTAAGTTAATATAAATGACTGGTCAATATTTAATCACTAAGAAAATATGCATTTTTAAGAAAGGACGCACATGAGCCGAGATTTTATCAGCTTTAAAGTATGGATGAAGTTTGGATGGGGTGCAGGGAACAAAACCACATTAATCAATGTGTTAACATGCCGGATTTTATTTTCCTCAACTAACTTGCCCATATTCTAATCACTGATTAGATATAGTTTAATATTCAAGTTCAGAATCTGAAAACAACAAATCATTTAAATATTAAAGGAATAAATAAGCTTGAAATCTCGTTAATTTTAAAATGTAGCTAGTGTGACTGACCTCAACAGCTTATTTATATTTCTATATGAAAATATTTCCTGATTAAATTAAAAATCAAAATCAACGTTATGCTGTTGCATATCAATCTAGATTTTTTTGTAAAAACAATTAACATCTTACATCTTGTTTGCCCCTTATTTATCAAATTGTGAAGTAATTCATAGGTATTCAGTCACTCATTGTCAATACAAATGTGTACAAATAAACAGTTGCTTGTACATATAACCCGATTTGCTATGCGAGGATTAATTGCAAACAGCTGCTTATATATGGCCATATAACCTGTCAAGTTTCTTTATAACGAATTTATAATACGGCAACTTTCCTTTTCATTCAAAGAAATAGAGAAGAGATATCAGCAGCCGTGTATATAAAACTATCTAAATGTCACGATTATGCAATGAAAAGAGACGTAACAAAAGTGCAGTATTATAAAGAAAATGAAAGAGTGGTTCATCGGAAGCATAAATCACAACAAAATTAGATGTAATTTTGCAGACTCGGTTTGAAAGAGTCTAATGAAAATGTGCAAAATTCCTCAGGCCTCCTAGCACCGGCTTTCAGTTCAGTAGTATATTTAACCAGACCGTTGCAAGGGCTATAATTGCACCCGTTTTTACTAGTACGTTTTTATAATACAGCACAATTGCATTGTTTTTCAATAGCTGTATATATATATATATATATATATATATATATATATATATATATATATATATATATATATATATATATATATATATATATATATATATATATATATATATATATATATATATATATATATATATATATATAAATAATAAACACAAGTCTTTAGTCCAATAAAAATCCACGTTACAAATACATTGTATGCATAATTAAAAAACGTCATTGTCGCTAATATCTTTCATTACAGTCATGCGTTAACGTACAGAGCCCACGTGAGTTTATCAAGGCTGGTTGGTATGTTGACCAGGATTCCAGACATATGAGACTTGACAGTTATGGTGTACCAAAAGGTGTGTAAAACCTTGTATATTATTTATGCATGTCTCAGAGACATATGTGTTCATTAAAACAGAGACATAAACAAAACATCTTGTTATCATCGTTTTATCAACATTGTAGATATATATAAATTGCCTTTGGTCATTTTCAAAATACAAATATGACAGAGACACAGTTTGATAAAAAACAACAACAGAGTAATATGTAAGATATATTATTTATGAAATAATTCGTTTGTCGCATATATTCCAAAGCAACAACCATTTTTAGATTATCTCTATTTAAGATCTTCGTTATCAATCTTATGATGAGTGGCGTTCAAGTTACACCTATACTGTAAATGCCATAGACATATAAATGTTTGACTTTCCACTACGGAGTTAAACCACTAACCTTCCGTAAGCTTGCTGGAAAGTTTAGTCATAAAAGATATATATGAAAGTCTCTTTAAAATTACGGGATTCCATTAACGTTTGAGAATCTCTTATTTTTTTACAGGTTTAAATCAAAGTGAAGCTGAGTTATTACAGCAGTATATCAATCAAGTAGAAGACTTTAACTACGCGTGTTCGCAGTACGGGCCTCCTCTCTATATATTTATATACTTGTATGATATCGGCAAGATGCTGAACCTGTTCCCCTCTCCAGAGCCTCCCTTCCGGTCGTGTACAGTCACGTAAATATACAATATTTTAAAACTTTCATTCCATTAAAAAGGCGCGTCTCAAGATATATGTTTAACATTAAAAAATTTACTCCGTCTAACATGTACAGAAAAAAATGTTTTCAGCGGTTTGTTACTGGTTGGGGACCACCAAAACCGGACAACCACCAAACCCGGACAGCCCCGAAAATGCTTAATTTAGTATTTACTTTGTTCAGTGGTTGTCAGTTACTTTTTTATCAACAATAAAATTCTGATTCTTCTAAAATTAAGTAAATAAATTTATTTCAACATCCGTAAATGGTAATATTTTAATGCCTATTTCAAGAATGTTGACGTTGAAATTAGGGGGTCAAAAAGCAATATCTGACCTCATATACCAGCTATAATCATTTGCAGAGGAAATAATAGAATATCCAAAACTTCAGCATTTGTTGCTGACATATTGTATATCATGTTAAAAATCAAAAATCAAAACACCCAAGCTTTTATCTGAATTAAATCCCGTCTTGTACATATCTGTCCGGACACATGGTACTGTAGTGTAGACAATTTAGGTCATTTTGATACCCTCCTTGTCGAGCCTCAGATATAAGTGTTGATACAATCAGAAATAAACAAACTAGTTTGTTAGTTAGGAGTAGAACCTAGCTGAACTGTGTTAAAGATTTTGGTCTCTAGGTTAAAAATTATGAAATCTGTATGGAAAAATGTTCCAAAAGTGTCCGATTGATGGTCTCCGACCAGTATGTAAATTTAAAATTTGAATAAAAAGAATAGAGAACAATAGTTTTCAATATGTGAATTGCAAAGCATGTATGTATTATATATAAAAATTTTGAACATTTTATATGGTTGTATTAGGTACATATAGTTGGTAGTGTTTTAATTAGTATTTCCATGTTTTGAAAGATTCATTATTTTTTTGTTTCCTTAACACTTTAATGAATGCTAATTGGCGCTATTAAAGAAAAAAGAGAGTGTTAATTTCTAGGAATAATTGACTATTAGAAGACAAAGAAGGTTTTAGATTTACAACTTTGAAGCAGACGTCAATATACGTCATCTCTTTTCTCGTGCTGTACGTGTTAAAAGCAACATACGCCTAGAAAACAAGGCATTTTGCCCTATATCTATGCATTGATTCTGATTGGCTCAATTCTAACATTCGTTATGGACGGAATTTAAATAAAGAGATACAACAATATCGGTCTAAGCCTGCGTTATGTATGCAAATTGACAACAGTGACCGAAAATGTTAATATGAAAGTGCTAGTCTATTATAATTGTTATTTGCAGCACAATTTACAACAAGTTCCCTAACAGTCCACTATATCCGGATCTAGAGTTTATAGAAGAAGCACATGATAATTTTACAACTTATAATCACTGGAGATCTGAATTCTTTCTCTTCACATTAGATTATTACTTCCATGCCACGAATGATTTACCTTATAAGTAAGTATTTCAGATGCGTCATTATTTATTGCTACAATTACATGTTTGCCGTCTGATAAATGATTAAAAAACAACTCATTTTATTTTTTTTACAAATTATCTGAATGCAACTTTGCTTCAAACGACCCATGCATAGTTGCTTAAAGTATACAATAGTTTAGTGATAAACTATATATAATAATTATATAAAGTGCAGCCAAACCTGTTCTAGAGAATACCTCTACACAGAGTTCTGACGTGGAAACCATGTCCTTACAATTAACATAGACGCCCAGCAAAGATCGTACTATCCATTTGTTGTTTACAGAAACATAAATTTGACTGTATGATAATCAACTAATTTATTATAAATTTGCATAAATACACATTTACATTAGTCATACTTTTTTCTGTAGGCTGTTGGTACAAGAAGAGGAAAATGTTTTTATATCATTTGAAGAGGGCAAACTCGAAAAAGGAACATTTCTTCCGCCCGCTGGCGTAATATGCAAATAGAAACGAAAAGAGCATTAGTGCGACGATATGAAAATACTGATTGACACGATATTATGCTATCAAAAGCATGCAATTGAGATTACGTTATTCATCTGTATTAACATGGGAACAATTTTGGAATAAAACGTTTTGGTGACATTTTCACATTTTCTTTTATGCCAGTTAAAAAACTGGGTGTAGAGTATACAGTACTGAGTATGCAACCTTATGATAGAAAGAATTATATTATTAATCAACCAAACACAAGGCTTTTAAGGACTTTCGTGTTGCTTCAGTTTCCAAATAGACATTTTCATGGAATGAAAAGTGTTTTATAGCATTTATTTAAATTTCGCAGGATGAAAACATGTTTTGATTACCAGGCTTTGAATTTTATTTTGTTGCTTATTTTAGGTAATTTCAAGGACATTTTAAATTCCATTCTTTTCTATTCGATTCGATTCTGTTCTATTCTGTTCTGCTTTCTATAATGTAGCGAATGCCTTTCATATCCCGTCACAACACAGATCAGATTACTTTCCCCTTTTGGTGCATAGATTTAAGGAGTCCTGTATATCAGTTAAAATTCGGTGCATAAATGAAACCAGTTTTATCGTGCGATGGCATGCATATCCGACATTATCCGATATAAAACATAAAATCACATCCATTCTTCCCTGGTTCACAAAATTCATTAAAGATGTAAGACAACAGATGATAATAAATCGTAAATAAAAATTAAATCAAACATGTGTTGATATTAAAATTTCAGTCAAAGACAACAACTCTAATTTCAGGAGTAAAAATCGCTTCAAATGAAATGAACCGTATGATTTCATTTCGATGTTAGAGATAAAATTACCCAAATAAATTGTCATATATTTACAAAAACGTCTTTATGCACATTTTTATATACGATTTCGAATTCTAAACACATATTCGAAATTTCCATATTACGCCTATTCTAAAAAATGTTTTGTGAGTTAAAACGGATTGTAACAACAGAAGATATATTTTTAAGTATTTATCTGGAAAATAAATGTAAATAATAATATATTCCAAATACTCTAACCACTCTTAGAATGAAAAACAAAATAGCATATGTGTAACTTTGAAATATCGTTAAATATCTAGCATTTTGATCAATTTACTAGTGTACATTCATACAATATATATAACAATAACAAAACATTTATTTTGTTTGTCAAATTATGCCCGAAGCCACTTGTACATTATAGATAAAATAGTTATAATGGATGATAAAGAAACCTTAAGTATAGCCGCGAAACATACATAACAATTATAATAATAATTTAAATGACATGTGTACATGAATTAAATAGCTTCCTGTTAAAGTATGTGTTGTTGTTTAAGACGAATTATTCCATGTGAAGTTAAATCATGCGGTAGATGTTCTAGATATATACTACTTTTATTTGGCATTGTTGGCTTAATGTCCACCTTTGTTTATATAGATATTGCGCCCGACATTCATACAGTAAGTTTTACATATTTGTTTCTTTTTTTCTATATTGTTTTTCTTAATGCTATTGACGATGTTTAACATAAATCCACAATGAAATACATGGTGTTTTGGAGAAATTATCTTAACATTAAGTTTATGAATGAAAAAGTATAACGTTTTAAATAAACCTAGGTTTTTTTCTGTAAAATTATCAATACCCAAATAATAATACATGTACATGTAATGATAATGAGAATGATAATGCGTGAAACAAAGTTGGATTTTATGTTGTATCAAAATGCAGTTGTAGGCCCATTATGCCGTAGAAATGCTTTTATTTTATTTTTTATTTCTCAAAAGCTGTTTATATTTGTGTACTTATATCGTATTCTAAAGAGTTATTCAGTTTCTTATTATCGCAACTATCTTTTTCCCTATGTTGCTTATTGGCAATAAGTACAATTATAGTGATTTAGTATTAAGATGGAAGTCAAAATGCTACTTTGTTTACATTTTGCTACTTTTATGGCAAATATTTCAAAATTAGACTACTTTTTCAGGTAATAATCTGACACGCTCTAAAACCATTATCTAAACGTTATTAAACTCATGTTTTTGTCATTTCTAAAGAAGTAAAAATGTATTCGTTTCTGATGCATAATATGCCTTGAATTTCAATTGAATTAAAAATATTTTTGTTACACAGATGTACATCAACGGATCTCTCAGCGATAGGACGACGTATTTCATACGTGACGTCATTGCGTTTGTTGCTCATGAAACAGCTTCCGGTATGAGTCACAACACGACGCTGTTAAAACCTCTGAGACACAAGGAAGATTTCAGTAATGTCTCCACTTTACTTCGCGGGACTATCAACACTGGCACAGGAAATGCTGAAGAAAATACTAAAGACACCAGTTTGAATACCAGCGAACATTTGGAAACTAAAATCCCAAAACAATTTGAAATTCGTAATAATTGGAGTTATTATACATCGTCGGACCTACAAATATTCATACTGTCAGCTATCGGGTCTAATGCAACGTCACGAAATGGCTATAAAGCAGAAATTAAGTTGAACGGTTGGCACTATATTATACATAAAACTATTCCCATTAAATGCTGCGTGCTTCGGAATTCTGGGAAAATATCTGAATATTTGAATCCAAAGAGAACTCATCAGAATAAAAGGATTCCGCTTTTAGGGACCCAGATCGCATGTCCAATAAAAGGACCCCTGAGTGACGTGAAGGGCGTGACGCTACAGTTTTTAAGGAAACAATGTCCGGAAAACAAACAAGTATATATAAGGCCTTTACTACCTGAAATACCAGCAAAACCCGTTTCCATGGTGATATGCTTGAAACTATTATATGGAAATATTGACAATATGGCGCTGATTTACTGGATAGAGTTTTACATTGAAATGGGTGTAGATAAGATTTTCACATTTACTTATAACATCGGAAGAAACACACAGAAAATTCTTGGACATTATTACAACATGGGAGTTCTAGAGTGGAGAAAGTTTAATTTCCCGATGAAAAGATTGCGTATGTATATACTTAAGATTAATTATTTTTATTCTGATTGTTTAATTTTAGATTTTTCTCATTGAATATCATGAATGACAAGAGGATTTTTTAAAACATTTTTAATACATTCATCAACATTCTATCTCTGTTTATTTTATATGTGTAAATGAATTTGCTATGTATGTAACACATAAACAAATAAGACCTTGTTGAAAATCCGTAATGTATATTAGTGCTCGCCAATTTTTTTAAGCCAATCACCGACGAGGATTTTTCAAATTTTCAGGTTACAAATCTTAATAGAACAGATTTTATATAAACTGGACGTTTTATATTATAAAACGCAAGTGGGCGGAGCACTAAGCCGGTTAGAGTGCATATTGGATGTTCTTCGTAAATAAGAAAGCTACAGTCGCTTCGCAAGCTCCGCTCCTTTTTAGCTTTCTTATTTACGAAGAACACCAAATATGCACTCTAACCTATACTTCGAGGAGGTTTATACTAAAAGGGTCACGAAATTCATGTATATATAACAGTAAATTTGAAAATGTTAAAGGTTATGTTGAACTGAACCTGTTTATGTGGAAAGTGCGAGCTACCATGAGGAATTCACTGGTCACGTTATGGACATAACTTCGAACACAAGAGCAATAAATTTTGTTACGTTTTATTCTCTGATTCAATGGTATTGTACCTTGTGAAATGAATTGTTCATGTACATCGAGAATAATTTTGTGCATATTAAGTTTGTTGTTTAACTCGTTACGGCGAAGATGATTTCATAACATCATTCATATTATTTTGTCTGCACAATCTTATATAATGATAACTTGGTTTCAGGAAAAGTCGGTCAGAAGGTCCCCGTTTTCTGGGAGGACGAGCAAGTTCTTGTCTATGATATGTTTTCTCGTTTCCATGGTTACACATACTTTGCAATTATTGACTTGGACGAATATCTACTGCCACGAAAACACAACAATCTGAAGAACATGATGGTAATTAAAAATTTCTCCTGAATTTCTAACGCTTAGATATTTCCTGGTCATGTTTCATAAATTTAATGTTTTCACTTAGTTCGCGTAATTGTGCCAGTCGGTAGCTCTCTTTTTTGCCATGTATTAATCATTAAAAGATTATAAAATGTGCACTATGCTTGTTAGATAGTATGTTAGCTGTGGCTACCGCCTGTTTCATAACTCAACCACATTCAGAATTAATGTTAAGAAATTGTTTTTACACTTGCAATATGGTTGGAATGTCTACTTTGTTAAATTTGAAACGTGTAAAGGCCCACAACTCTTATACCAACATACCAATAGTCCTATCTGTAATTATGTAGACTTTTCTGATGTAGCTATAAAATGATTTCTATTCGTTTTCTTTTTCTTCTAAAACCTAAGCTTCAAGCTGAAAATAGAAAATTAAGTATCATTCTTACTTGTTAAAAAAGCATTACATGTTTTTCGTCGTAAAGTACCTGAATTTGGCCGCCGGAATAATGAACTGGACAGTGTTCCGGCTGCTCTGGCTGTCTGGCTAACTTTACGAACACGTGTCATACATATATAAAATGTTATCATAATCAAATTTCATTGAAAATACTTCTTACACATATTCATTGAAGAAGAAAAAACTTAATGTATGTGCAAAGTAACAATGTCGCTGCGACTTCAAATCTGTTCATTTATACACATAATAATACAATTTTAAAAGACATAAAATGTATGTTAATGTACCTGCTGCCTTTCTTTGACCCCTTCAAGTGGATACAAAAATTTATTATGTCGATATTTATAACAATTAATTAATTTATTTATATGAACAACATTCTTTCAGACATACTTGACGAAAACTTATCCTGGTGCTGCCGGTTTTACATTTAATTCTTATATTTTCAATAAGAAATGGGGAATAAGCGGTACACATAACGGATCTACTGTGGAAAAGTTTGTAAAACGGACCCCATTATTTACTGGTATTTATGCCAGAAGAAAGAATATCCTCCTACCGTCGAGAGTTTTATTTAACAGCTTCTTCCATACACATACATACACACCAAAGAATGGTTACAAAAGGTAATGTTCTATGTTCTAATATCAGAAACTATCTCAAATCTACAAGCAAATAATTGTAACATGTTATTTTTTATAAAGATTGGTTTATGTACGATCTTATTATTTGTCCTTAAGATCCATACTCGTTTAAATTTCTTTCCTTTATTATAAATGTGTTTTAATTAATAAAATCATCATCGCCGACGTCGTCGATGCCGTTGTTACTAAAAAAATAATAATTTTTACTATTATTTTATTTCTTTAACTGTAACTTTTTATTATTATCAATGTTTATCATCATCATCATCGTCGTCGTCGTCGTCATCATCATCATCATTATGAAAGATCACATTTTATCCGTCATATATAAGAGAAGAATAGGACAGTAATTAGAGATTGTTGTATTCCATTTTTATGATTCATTTTTACCTAATATGAAACAATTTAATTCATGAGTACAAGGCATAAAGAATATACACGTAATAAAGTGTCCAACTTTTTGTTTCAGAGTTATAGTGAAAGGTTCTATAGCAACGATAAATCACTATCGAGTATGTTACTCCAATTTGAAGCACTTATGTGACAGAAATCGAGCAAAAACCGACAAGGAAATTCTGAAAGTAGTCGAGAAAATCAAACCAAGAACACAATGGTTCTCTGATTCAGGAGGTAAAACTTGATTTACTGACGTGTGCAAAACTTGAATTAAAAAGCAGGTTTATAAAAGGAAATTAGGACAGGCAGCGAGGGACAACTTAGATCATGTTGAAAGGACTGCTGTGTTCAGAATTCTTGGTTGTATACACCATCACTTGTAGTGTAATTGAATAAGATAGGAGCTGATGTTAATAAGTTATCAATGTGGCAATTAACTGTCTGTTTCTGTTGTGTATAAACATGTATTATTGGAGCAATTTTTACTATGATGATAATTGAGTGCATTTTTTTTCTATGAAAAAAAAATGTATATAAGCAAATATTTCAACATGTTATAAAACACCGAATTGACATGCAACACAGGACGGTACTCTCTGATTTGTATATTTGTATTTTTTGTTATATAAAATCATACATAAACTATATAAGTTGTTGTATTTGTTTAGTTTCTTAGTTTGTTTATATCCATTCCTTCAAATAGACATGACATGTATGCTACCATCTTGGCTTACCACTGGCGACCAAAAAGCAAGAATAAAAAATTCCATTTTTTTTTTCGAGTATATAAGAAATCTATTATCCTTTACTTTCTGTTTGTTAAAACTTTAGCGTATAAATACTGGACAATAACTTTTCAAGTATTTGAAAGTATATCAGTTTAAATAGTCAAAAGAGGAAACATTGTTGAAAGATGTGTAGTATAGTGCTATTGTATTTTTGTTTGTTTGAGGCACGGCAAATGTTAAGCGGTGAATGGTTCCAATTAAACACTTTTGTATACATTAAGAATGGTATATCACAGTAATATACCTATATACTACATTTGTATGAACTTTGATATTTACCTAGGTTTCTTTTTTTAAATTTCAAATGTAGTAGCTTATATTATTTAAACCAAATAATAGGGAAAAAGGTCCTTAAAAAATATAAAGTACACAAAAGAAAACAAAAATTAAAAAATTTAAGATTCAAAAAAAATTTTTTTGCAAAAATTTACAAATTTTCCCTCATGCCCTGTCGGGGTTAAAGCACCGTGAGTTTTCTTGTACATTGTATCTACACAAATTTGTTGGTAATAAAGAACAGCGATATATCTGCTTGCGTATGTATATAAATTGTACAAGTAAAAAATAAAGTATCTGTTCTGATCTATTAATGTCAAACATCACATTGCTTTTGTGGCAACAGATCAGATACTTGGAAGGTGCAGACTTTGAGAACAATACAGATGAATTGTGTGTCCTAGAACCACACCACTGATCAAACACATATTCTACAGTAATGCCGAGCAGCATATGTCATCATTATGACTGCAGTGACTGTGTCAAACGACAATTAGAAGATATTCATTATGAACACGATTTATCAAGATCTCGAAATAATAACTTCCAGCATCAAATCATATTGCGCGTTATGTTTCGTATTTTGTCCATCACTTTTATTATAGACACGTCTGTTACGCTCTTTCGTTTATCACATATTTGTTTAATGTTGTCGTAACATACGCGGTAATGATTGAGTGCAAGTGTTGATTCATTAACTGTATACCTGAAAAGGAAAAAAAAAACAAGTGTCTTTTAATCAGTGTTTAATTGTTTATTTACCATTTCTGCGTTGCATACAATGTAATAAACTCTGGTGTAAAAAAACAGACTCTGTAAACAAGAGGGCCATGATGGCCCTGAAATCGCTCACCTGTATATAGGCCCCAGGGGCGGGGCTAATTTTAACCCAGGGGCTTTTATTTGAACAAACTTGGTAGACACCCATTAGAGGATGTTTCATGATAAATATCTAAGCTCTAGCTCTAAGAAAATCTTTAAGTTTTTACTAAACACATACAGTGATAAACAATGACCCACCCCCTCTGTGCGGGCCAATTTTGTCCCCAGGGCTTTTATTTGAACAAACTTGGTAAACACTCACTAGAAGATAATCTCATGCTTAATATCTAAACTCTATCTCTTTGGGCTTTTTAACAGAACATTTTTTCAGTTTTTACTATATACATAAAAGGAAAAATCAATGATCCCGGGCGGGGCCCAATTTTTTTAACCCCAGGGCCCTTAATTTTAACAAATATGGTAGAACACTCATTAGAAGATGTTTCATGCTAAATATCTTAGCTCTAGCTTTTTTAAGATTTTTTAAAAGAAGATTTTTTATGTTTTAACTATATACATAAAAGGAAAAACAATGACCCCCTGGGGCGGGGCCAATTTTGACCCCAGGGCTTTTATTTGAACAAACTTGTTAGACACCCACTAGAAGAGGTTTCGTGCTTAATAGCTAAGCTCTAGCTCTTTGGGTTTTTTTAAAGAAATTTTTTTAAGTTTTTACTATATGCATATAGGGTAAATCAATGACCCCCGGGGCATACATGTGACAAATGAAATGGGCCAAATCTGGATTTTCAGCTGGATTTTGAGGCTCAAAACTGGATTTTTTTATCGACTCGAATTTCAGTGCGTGTTTGGCACATTTGGTTCAAAGAATCTATATTACCCTCAAAATCATTAAATGATAATACTTTTTATGATGTTTTTGTTGATCAATATTAATTTATTTCACCAAAAAAATAAATAAATAGATTAATAAATAAGTGTAGTCATACTGGCTATTTCTAAAACAGTCACACTTTCACATTTTCATTATTTTCAGTTTGAAGAATAATAATGTCCTTTTCAGTCATTCAATAATTAAACACAAGCTATTTTGAAAACGTGCAAACAACTATTTATAAACATAAGACTATGGCAGTTAAATAACGTAACATAAGTAAAAGACTCAAAATAAATGCAAGAATCGTTCTGTTAATTAAATCCACATTTTTGCCTCGATGATTGCGTAATTCCTAAACAAAACAAAAAATTACCAACTCACTAAAAATAGGTTAATTAGACATCTCAAACAGGTTTTGAATGATCCACTTTAAATGATTCTGCTCCCCTTTTATCTTTATCAGTGCGGCACTAATCAAAGAAAATCAAAGGTTGAGCCGAATTCATACATGTAAATTTACAGGGTAGTTTTGATGACGTAGCGTGTAATACCTACTGCCAAATTACAAAAGAGGTCAATTGACTGACACACGACACGTGATAAGTTAAACGTGATAAGTTAAACATGTGAGAATAACTTTGGGTATTGGAACTGTTTATTACGTCATCTTGCTGTTAATTAGCGACTCAACATTTAATCCGCTATAATTTAGGATATGGACAGATAACAATCAATGCCCGGAGGCACGGTTTACATTTTAGATACAGGTGCTGTTAATTTTTTTTATGTTGATTTTTTTTTAAATATCGGGAATTCAAGCTGTAATATCGGGAATCGGGATCAGTGTTGAAATATCGGGATTTTTTTAAATCCCGCCGGGATGTCACATGTATGCCTGGGGCGGGGCCAAATTTGACCCCAGGGCTTTTATTTGAACAAACTTGGAAGACACCCATTAGAGGATGTTTCATGCTAAATATCTTAGCTCTAGCTCTTTGGGTTCTTTAAAAGAAGATTTTTTAAGGTTTTACTATATGCATATAGGGAAAATCAATGACCCCCTGGGGCGGGGCCAATTTTGACCCTAGGGCTTTTATTTGAACAAACTTGGTAGACACTGACTAGAAGATGTTTCATGCCAAATATGTAAGCTCTACCTCTTTGGGTTTTTTAAAAGAAGATTTTTTAAGGTTTTACTATATGCATATAGGGTAAATCAATGACCCCCTGGGGCGGGGCAAATTTTGACCCTAGAGCTTTTATTTGAACAAACTTGGTAGACACCCATTAGAGGATGTTTCATGCTAAATATCTTAGCTCTAGCTCTTTGGGTTCTTTAAAAGAAGATTTTTTAAGGTTTTACTATATGCATATAGGGAAAATCAATGACCCCCTGGGGCCGGGCCAATTTTGACTCCAGGGCTTTTATTTGAACAAACTTTGTAGACACTGACTAGAAGATGTTTCATGCCAAATATCTAAGCTCTACCTCTTTGGGTTTTTTAAAAGAAGATTTTTTAAGGTTGTACTATATGCCTATAGGGTAAATCAATGACCCCCTGGGGCGGGGCCAAATTTGACCCCAGGGCTTTTATTTGAACAAACTTGGTAGACACCCATTAGAGGATGTTTCATGCTAAATATCTTAGCTCTAGCTCTTTGGGTTCTTTAAAAGAAGATTTTTTAAGGTTTTACTATATGCATATAGGGAAAATCAATGACCCCTGGGGCGGGGCCAATTTTTGACCCCAGGGCTTTTATTTGAACAAACTTGGTAGACACCCATTAGAAGATATTTCATGCTAAACATCTAAGCTTTGGGTTTTTTAAAAGAAGATATTTTAAGTTTTTTCTATCGGTTGCCATGGCAACCAGAGTTCTGCATGGAATTAAATTCTTTGAACAATTTTTAAAGGTGACCACCAAAGGAACATTCCTGTGAAGTTTGGATGAAATTGGCCTAGTGGTTTATGAGGAGATGTCATTTAAAGTAAAAGTTTACGGACGACGGACGGACGGACGGACGGACGCCGGACGAAAAGCGATCACAAAAGCTCACCCTGTCACTTTGTGACAGGTGAGCTAAAAAGACAGACACGATGTAATCGTTATCAATGGAATATCATCTTTTTCCTCAAATAGTTTTATACATTTGAATACATTTTAAAGTTGATTCTTACTGGAACCATAACTGTGTAAAGTCAATTTCGAAATTTTTAGATTGTTTTGTTGTAAACAGTAAATATGAATTAATGACTTATATTTACCTTTTATATCCAGTGATTGGATTAAACTCGTGTGTACAGAATATTCTGTCAACTGCAACACGTGACGGAATAAGTATATTCTTTGCACGGGCACGCGTCCCTGTAAGTGCACTTGTTCTTTGTATGTACTTCACGACATCTGAGCCATTGTTCCTCCCTGACACACCCCAATCTTTATTGAAAATGAAACTTTTCAAAGAAAATCCAGCTGCTTTCGGGTGTCTTTTTATTAAATATTCCTACAAGTAAACAAATTAGAACCCGTGTAAATAAAATTTGATTTTTATCTCTTCAAGGCAGAAGTAAACCTCAGATTCTTTTCTTCTTCATTGACAGTAACAAACATTTAAACAGACATGTAGAATAAATACAACACGCAACTTTGTTGATTTGATACCCAAGCCGTGTTTTACAGGTCAGTGTTTTGAAGTCTTTTAGTCATAGAAGGTACATAATAGGAGTGTATTCCGAGTCGAGCAAAATATCTTTTATAAGTCGCCAGTAGAAACTGGCGACTATATTTGTAATAGTTTAATATTATACCTATGGTAGGAGAAGGCCTTAAAATCTTAAATTAAAAGCATGTCAATAAGTGAACAATTAAAGACCACAATTATTTTTCAGTAATTTCAAAAATTCAAACATATGATAACGTTGCTCAATGAAATGAAATGTATAAATATTGACATCTTAAAAAGCATCATTGCAATTTCTATAAAATGAATAAATAATGTATCCCTATGAATAAGTCATTAAATTTAGGGATACTGTTATTTTTTTCTAAGTGTCAAAGGTTGCTATTTTATGATAAATAAATCATGCATAATAATTGAAATGACACTTTTAAATTATCTGGGTGTTTATATCTTATGAAACCTATTCTATTTCATAATTGTATCTAATTATAAACAGTTTCTACCTGTTCTTTTGTAAGAATCACGTGACTACACTTTTTATGTTAGTGTTATAAAATCTATTAATAGTAACAAATTGCTGATAAGACATACGAGTTAACTTGTTAATGGTTCAGCCGATAAATTGCAAATCATAGTAATTTTGTATGTATCATTACAAAGTTATTTTTCATTAATCAGTTTCATGTTTTATATCATTAGAAAGGTCTGTATACTCATATTTTACACATTAAAATAGATTTTCAAAATCTTTCCCTATTTTCTTAGTAAAGGGTTAAACTTGGCCCTTTCACAAGAACGTCCAATAGTTTAGTTTAGGCTGAACATCACAAAATAAATTTATGCTGAAGTGATAATGGTTGATTTCGTTATATTCCGTCGTTTTCCGTCACGCAGGTTTCCAAAACTATGACGTAGAGGGAAAATCCGTGGATCCGGAACAGAGAAAACTAATAAACTATTTTTGTGTTGATAGTTTATCGCACTGAAAGGCAATTAAACGTGTAACAACGGGAATATTGATTTGAACTAAATTGTATATTTTTTCGATAGCACATAAGAATATTTTTTATGCAGACACCAAAACATTCTAAAGTACGGAGCCCCTAAGGTGACATTTTCCACACTTTTTTTTCCGGAACTTAATTCGTTTTTACGAAATAATAATTCGTAATTACGAAATAATTATTCGTTTTTACGAAATATTAATTCGTAAATACGAAAAATTAATTCGTTTTTACGAAATAATAATTCGTAATTACGAAATATTAATTCGTTTTTACGAAATATTAATTCGTAATTACGAAATATTAATTCGTTTTTACGAAATATTATTTCGTAATTACGAAATATTTATTCGTAAAAACGAAATGTTATTTCGTAATTACGAAATAATAATTCGTAAATACGAAATAATATTTCGTAAAAACGAATTAATTTTTTTCTAGGGTTTCAAATAGTTTTGGTAATAGTTATAAATAAGGCCTCAAAACTAAGTTCTTCACTGAATATAAGGCATGTTCATGCAATATAAATAGTGATTTTTGTTCTCCCCAAGTTTTTTAACTTTACACTATTGTACATAAATTAAAATAATCGCCTGTCAATAGCGTTGAGCCACAGCCGTGATAGTACACGCGCTAGGAAAATTAAGTTAAAATGGGGGTCCTGTGCTTTAAATCCAAACACGGACATTTCTAATTTGTTTAAACTGATTAGATTAGTGAAAGTCTGGACCCCCCCCCTCTCGTCCCATTAGTTTTACTTATGTATATGATAAAAGAACGGAATAATATCGCATGTTTCTGTTTTAAAGAAACATGTGATAAAAGATTGCCTCAAACATTAAAACACTGCTGATAGGAACATGTATTTGACAAAAGGAAAAAATAGACATTTTTGGCCAGATAATGACTTCTAACTTAAAAACCCTGTTCACTTAAATATAATAACTTGAGAACCATTCGGCATTTAATCGAAAGGCTGATTGTAAATGACCCATTTGTGAGATTAGCAGGTTCTTTATCAAGCGCAAAATGACCTTATAAGATTTGGTAAAAACGAATTAATATTTCGTAATTACGAAATAATATTTCGTTTTTACGAATTAATATTTCGTAATAACGAAATAATATTTCGTAAATACGAATTAATATTTCGTAAAAACGAAATAATATTTCGTAAAAACGAATTATTATTTCGTAATTACGAAATAACATTTCGTTTTTACGAATAAATATTTCGTAATAACGAAATAATATTTCGTAATTACGAAATAACATTTCGTAAAAACGAATTAATATTTCGTAAATACGAATTAATATTTCGTAAAAACGAATTAATATTTCGTTAAAACGAATTATTATTTCGTAATTACGAAATAACATTTCGTTTTTACGAATTAATATTTCGTAATTACGAAATAATATTTCGTAATTACGAAATAATATTTCGTAAAAACGAATTAATATTTCGTAAATACGAATTGATATTTCGTAATTACGAATTAATATTTCGTAAAAACGAATTAAATGCCGGGAGAAAAGTGTCGAGAATGTCACCTTAGGGGCTCCGTACTAAAGTAAACCATACGGATTACAATGTATGGTACAACGGTATATATATAAAGTAGAATTACAAGTACAATTACCAGCATACCACTTGCCTTACAATTGTTTGTTTGTTTGTTTCTTTTTGCGCCTTTTCTCAACAATATTTCAGTCATATAAACGGGTATTTTCCTAACCATCGATACTGGAGATTTACACCAGTACTAGACTACCTTCCTCCGTGCTAAACTACCAAAGCATCTCTCGGGGATCGAACCCACGCCAGAGAGGTAACTGGATTAGAAGTCATCGTCTCTAACCCCTCGACCACGGAGGCGGTCTACTTCCCTTACAAGCCTCGATGGAAAGGTGTTAGACTTTCAGTTAGTTTCAAATTCATTGTGATTTTTAATGTTTCCTTGTATGATTTTTTTCTATATTTTGCAAAACTTGACCATTTATGTGTTTCTTGACAATATTGCTAAGCAAGTTTGCTTCAGATATGATGTTTTATTATGAATAAACATCACTCAACAGAGTCAACACATTGCTCCTCTTTTCTTTATACTTGAACCATTAAACTGAAATTTTCTTATATTTATCACGATAATACAATCTTTTTTTTATCCGGCGACTTGATGCTTTTGCATCAAAACCTCTACTTGTAGGAAACTATATACCCTTTAATGATAATGTCATTTAAATGTTATTATGAAATTGTGCCAATGTGAGTACAACTTTTGACAACTGCGTCAGTGCTCAGTGGTTTTAGAGCGTTTAGACCATTATTTATTTAAACAAAATGTCACAGAACATGAATTTAAAATTTAGACATTTTAGCATTTCGTTCCTTACTATTAACACATTATCATACATTATTTTTCAAGGACAAACAATACATATAAGTAATTATTGAAAATAACAGTTGAACATATGATAAAAGAATGAGATATAGTATACATATATCTCTATATCTTTTTAGTTTTTGACTCGAAAGAAACATTTTTATTTCAACGAGTATTGCAATAGATTATGCCTCATCTTTAAAGTACAATTTCAAAAAAAACTAAAATCATTAAATTTGAAATCTTATATAGATCAAGTAAAGCACTTCAAATGAGGAAAACATGCTAAAAATGATAAGGAGATATACTTAGAGTTAAATAAAACATCGTTTTGAGTGCGATTCTTAGCCCGACTTGAGTGAAAATCGTTGTTTGGGTCATTTTGCATAATACAAATGATTTTTCTGATAATGACCTGAATGACAAAAAAATATGGCACACTAGTTATAGGTTCAGAACTTCGTCAAAGGAAAATATGTCTAGTCCCTTAACGTGAAAAAACTTCAGGAGTCCCTTTAAAAACAAGCTTAGTCAGTCAATATTATTTCATTAGCATTATGTTATCCTTCTTGAAGAAATTCTCCAAAGGGTTCAAGTGCAAAGACATATCCATTGTTTAAGTTTGGTTACACGTGGTAACTGTTCACGATATTGGCATCCTTACATGAAAACAACATCAGATATTGTATAATTAAAATAACACTTAAAATGTACTAAAATTTAGAGATATACTATCAGCTAAAAATCTAATTTCCTGGAGATTTTCAGTATAACGAATTATTTCTTATTGTAAGAATCTTTAAACCGGATCTTTACAAGTACTCTTATCATATCTGGATTTGTAGAAAGAAATACCAGACTATTTGTTTCACTCATAAAATTATAATTGACATTTATACTATAAGCCTTTGTGCTTTACAACAGATTTATACAGGGGAAATTCTAAAATAATAAGTGTTTAAGGACGTTTTTGGGAGTTTTCATGTAGACATATAGGCAAAATAAAACTGTTCAATAGGATTTATTTAAATTTGGCATGTTGTTAGAATATAATAATAGAAACATTTTAAGCAAAAAAAAATTGGGGTCACCGTTCTCATTTTCGAGTTATCTGCCCTTGAATTCGAGTTTTTCGTTAAATTCAAGGGCAGATAATTTACAATGAAGGGAAACAATACATTTTATTTTCTTATTTTCATAAAGCTTACCTTCCTTTTAATCGATATGCAAAATTTCCAGAACAAATTTTTAGAGTGGGTAGTTTTTTTTCCACATTTTCTTTTTACCTGTGCATTTTTTCTTAAAAAATGCCCTATTTTTTAAGAATTTAAAGTACCTTTATTTTCATTGAAAAAAAATAACAGAAACGATATAAGGAATTGCATGTTATTATGTATTGTACTCAACAATAAAAAGAAAAACATAATCCAGAAGTAAAATCAAGAATTCGTTTAAGTATGTATAAGTTATCTGCCCTTGAAATGACCTCAAATAAGTAGAAATTTCTGATTCAGGGGCAGATAACTCAAAAAACGAGAACGGTAACCCCAATTTTTTTTCGCTTAAAATGCTTCTGTTATCATATTCTAACAACATGCCAAGTTAAAAGAAATTCTATTGAACAGTTTTAATTTTGCCTATATGTCTATATAAAAACTCCCGATTTCAAACGTCCTTAATCTTCAATACCGCATTTACAAACTTCTCTTGCTCCGGAATATTTTCTTACCGGACATGTTTCAATTACAAAGGCGCAACCCATATGATACGACATACGTACACTTTTTACAAAACGTTTATAAATAAGTTATAAGTTCTAAGCCTATTTCTGCATGTACATTTTTCGAGATATCAGTGTACCGTTGCAAAATATATTCATTCTAATTTCATAAGTTCTATAGCAGAACAAAAAATACACATGCATACCATTGTGTCCTTAATGTTGTCATGCTTCCTAGGGAGTAGAAATTCGTCTAAATCAATTATAGCAACGTATGTGTAACCATGGAGACGGTAAATGCAATCATAAACAACAACCTGTTCGTCCTCCCATGCCAACGGTGTTTTCATGCCGACATTACCTATAACACCATATAAAATAAAGCTATAGATAAAAGGTTAAAGTACTTTATATGTTTTATAACAGAATGCTTCATCCGTCAACTACCCCAATAAAGAGATTATAGAGTTGCCAATTCCTTTTAAACGTTTTAAGTGAGAATGAAATTCTGTTTATTTAAATTCTTTTACAAAATGAGAACGTTGCTAATTATGGAGCTCACGATCTGTAAACATTCGTATTTAATCGCATAGTTTTTGTTTAATGTAACTTGTATGCAAACGAACTTCAACGAACTAGCCAAAATGGAGAATAAAATAGGTAAAAGAAAACTTACGCCCTTTCTTCCATGGAAATGCAAACTGTCTCGTCTCTAAAAATCCTAACCGTTCATAGTATTGGATGATTTTATTGGTATCTTCTGTGATGTTATAAACAAACGTAAATACTTTGTCAACTTTTATCTCCCTGTAAAACTCTATCCAGTCAATTAATAATTTGTTATCAACATTTCCATATAAAATTTTCAAGCATATAGCAAACGAATGACGTTGTGGTTGACGCTTTGGAATGAATGGCACTATATAATCAGAATTTTTGGTTGGGCACTTCTTTTTCGCAAATTCCACCGTGACCCCCGTGACGTCCATCAACGAACTTTTTATTGGACATGTCAATTGTGTTGCTACCAGATTTAATCGCTTTCCGCGCGTTGTCTTATTAGGATTTAAATAATGTTTTCTTGTGCCATTAACCAAAAGAACACAACACTTGATGGCTGTGAGTCTATGTTTGGCACCATGCCAACCATTTAATTTGATCTCATGTCGATAGCCACCAATATTTGTTTGATTGCTGCCGGTTGCTGATAGTATAAATACAGCAAGCGCTTGGCTCTTTTGCCATTTGTCCCTTACGTCATAATCTGATTCAAACTTCGAAACATTGTAAGACTGAGATTGTTCTGAATTTAGAGATGGCATTTCGCCTGTGACGTCATCTAATATGTAAGTGATAGATTGATTTCTTGTAACGAACACTTCATTATTTCTGTATGCTGTTCCATTTCTTCTATATCGCATTGAAAGAAATATGTTCGCTTTATTTCCACTGTAGTTCCATGAAGAGTTACTCAGAAGTGAACCATTAGTAATGTACATCTGAAAGATAACAAGACATGAAATGTATGATGCTCAAAAACAACAGAAACTTCTTTTACATAACAAATCAGTGAAATACGATAGTGGCAATACAATGTCGATAAAAGTTGCGATACTTGTTGACGTTTTAGAAATTGTAAGCGATATACCAAGAAGTAAGAGGAGTTATATGTGGGGATTGGGGAAGGGTGGGGTGAGGTACAGGCAGAGGTGGATGTGGAAAGATGGGGGTGAGGTGGTAAAATAGGTGTAGAGGTTGAGGTTAGGATGGAGATGAGCGGAATGAGGTGGTTATATGTGTTGAGGGTGCGGTTATGATGGAGGTGGGCGGAATGAGGTGGTAATATATGTGTTGAGGGTGAGGTTAGGATGGAGGTGGGCGGAATGAGGTGGTAATATATGTTGAGGGTGCGGTTATGATGGAGGTGGGCGGAATGAGGTGGTAATATATGTGTTGAGGGTGAGGTTAGGATGGAGGTGGGCGGAATGAGGTGGGGCGAAGGTGGAAATAAAGTGGACATGGAGGTGGAGAGATTGAGAGTGAGGTCGAAATTAAAGTGAGTTGCATGGGGATGGAGAGGTGAGAAATGAGGATAGAAAAGAGATGGAGAGGTGAAAGTGTGGTTGGAACGGAAAGGTTGAGGGTGATGTTGGGATGGAGGTTGGTGGAATGAAGTTGGGCGGAGGTGAGAGGTGGGGATGCGGTAGAGATGGAGGTAGACAGGTTGAGGGTGAGGTTGGAATGAAGGTGAGTTAGATGGGGATGGAGATGTGGAAAATGAGGTTGGGATGATGGTGAGGGGATGGTGGTGAGGTTGGTTTGGAGGTAGAGAAGTGAAGGTGGTGAGCTGATGTGAGGTGATATTTGTTAAATGATCTGACACTTTTTTTGTAGCTTGCATATACATTTATATGCTTTTACAAAATATTTACCGAGAGTTCGACGTTTATTTTAAAACGCAAAATATCTTCTCTTTTTTTTGCAAGTCCATATTTTTAAATAACAGTATCTGATTTTAAAATTTACACGAAGAAATGCACTATATTATTATGTATACATTAGCAAGGTATCTATAGATGATCCTAGCAATAGTGACCAAAATTAATTGATTTTTTTTTTCAGATCTTACAGCACAAAATTTCATTCTTAATAAATTCTGTCTGAAAACAACATCATCAACAACAACAAACAAGCAATAACAACAACAAAAAGTTCTAAATTTCGATATGGTATCCATATTTCCAGATACTGTTATAATAGGACTGAATATGTGCTATTGCTACATGTACATATATATCAAAATTGAATATAATTGTAAATATAAACATATAATTATTTCTTTAAAATAAGTATTAAAGGGTACTTACGACATAAACATTCCGCATTAAATCTCGTTGAACGATAAGGAACGTTAAACACGTGACGCCGAGCAGTACTAGAAACACTTTTGAACAATTTCCTGTACACTGTTTTGTGATATCTAATATCCCCCACATTTTATTGAAAAGCATGTAAGTACTCTTTGAAATCGATCCGGTAATTGAATTGTTATCAATCTATGATACCGGTATTCGTCGAGTGTCTTAAACGCGTATTCTATTTTCATTGTCCATATGAAGTTATTTTCCACACATAGGAAACTGTTTTATTTTGTTTAAAACTGCATGGATTTTTATAACAATACATGTGTGTCACACTTAAAACTCTTTCAGTATTATTGCGCGTTTTTAGCGTGTCTAAAATTTTAATTGTATCACGTGATATAATCACGGTTATCGTAATCTTTAAAAAGGCAAATTTGTAAGAGTTCATTGACTTGTTTAGTTTGTTAATTAACTACACAAAACACATTTATATTATCCAAGTTAAGACGCGAACTTTATAACATTTACGCGAGGGGTAGTTGCCAGAGTTATATACTACAGTATAGAATACTGTAGATCAATAACAGAGTTTAATTTTTTTAATTGTTGAGTCAGTGCACAGCAATTGTGTAAAATCTATTTTAAGAGTTTATTTTAAAAGTGGCCCTAATAAGTGGCCGTGAAACGGTGCTGTTAGGAAGTTTATTTTTATTGTTATATCTTTATTTTAACTTCATTAGTTTCTAAAACAGGTTGTGTACCAGACTATTTTTACCATATAGTCTCATGGCTATTTACAAAATACAGATTACCTATAATGTCACAAAAAGACTCCATATTGTATTATATCCCTTTGCCCCCCGCCCGTGTTGTTCATTATTATCTTTTTCTTTTACCACTGTAATTGTACATAAAAAACCTAGCATACTTAATACTAGTATACGTGAACCTATGACCCATATGGAGCAATACGTTTATCACAGGTTCACTCAAGCATGAGATTTTCTTAAATAAGTTACAAAAAGACTATCTCATCACATTATGGGTAACCAAGTTATTATAATTAGCTATATTTGGGACATAGTATTTTTTCGTATTCTTCTATGAATTGTTTAAGTAATAGGAGATTAATTATTATGTGTAATATCTGAATACATAATAATTTATATACCATGAGACAGTGATCAACAAATAAGGCCTTTTCCACCACGTTTTAACTATTAATAATGTTTTATTGAAGAACTGAAGTTGAGAAAAGCACGTATACATTGGAATGCAACGGGCACCTGCTAAATCTCTATCAAACTTGTCAATATAGGTCAATCCAAAACTTGCAGAAATTTTAACAAAATCGGATTTACCTCCTTATTTTGTAAACAAAGAATCTTAGACCAATGATGACAAAGGAGGCAATCATCTCTAAACGAATCAAAATTATTCTTATAAAGCGGGTGTTCGGTAGAACTTTAACATTTATAACAAATTCTGCTAATTACAAACTTGTACAATGTAATTAATCATATGTATCCCAGTGTATACATTAATTATATGTAAACTAGAACCAAATAATATACACAGAGAGCCCACATTGAATTGGTAAAGAAACGTTCCTGACATGCCTTTATCGCATGTAAGTATGCGAATTCTGTAACTTTTATATGTAAATATTGAATCTATTTTCTTAATTTGTGACCTTACCTTCTATATAAAAGTTTTGGCCATTTTAAAATAAGTACCTTTTAATAATTAATTTTAGAATCTATAAACTTAGAATGGGATTAACCCATCTTCCTCCCATGGCAGAGGTCGTACGTAGAATGCACATAACACATGTACCGATATAACATTTAGTAAACAAACAACAGATCCCCTATTTTTAGGTTATAAATGAAGTATATGCTCGCCCATATGGTCTCTTTCCGATGGCGAGGATTAGCAAACGCAAACACATTTTGTTTCATTTTTCTTTTGCTTTTTTTTTCTCATGACCATTTATTTAATATTTATTAATTGCAAAATACATATTTTTGAAAATGTCTTTGATATATTTTCAACTAAATGAATTTTGTGCATGATAATGCCATGAACTGTATATATGTAAATTGTTTAAACTGGGACAGGACACTCATAAGCTTTCATAGCTTTCTGCCCAATCCCAAATGTATTGTGTATATTGTTCAACATAATGTAAATATATCGAATAAAATATGTTTAAACCAAACGCAAACACACACACGTTCATTGACTGTAACTGAGATATTTTTAGATAGCAGGGGAAGTTACAAATACGAATACGAACTTTATAAATGGTATTGGATTATCCCCATATATTTACAAAATGGATTTTAGAAATATTTTAACAACAAAGCTCACAAAAATCCCTACTTGGCGGAATACAAAAGTTTTGCAAAAAAAAAAAAAAAAAAAAAAAAAACATGAACAAGGTAATCTTGTAATGTAATCTTCTTGTCGATGTGTATATATAAGAAATATTTAAATAAACATACGTGAATGTTACATTTATGTTTTAAAAAATCATATGAACTTATGAAGGCTGGTGAAGGCGTATAGCCGAAACGTATGCAATAAATAATTACTGAATGTTCGTGTTTATGTGCCTTGTCTGTTTAATTTTTCTATTGCGCATTTGTCACAGGGTGAGAAAAATGTGCAGCCTTACCGGGACTCGAGCCAGGGACCCTCGGAATACCGTACCGCGGCTCTACCGATTGACCGCTTCCACATCTTCTCCCCTAAATAGTGAACAGTTCTGAACCGTGACATACTCCCCCGCTATATTGAAATTCGTCCTCGAATTTCTAATGGGTAAATAGAACAATGTGAAATTGAGCTGGGAGTTTATACCACCACGGCCAACGTTGGGCGCCAAATGTCACAGGGTGAGAAAAATGTGCAGCCTGACCGGGTCTCGAACCCGGGACCCTCGGAATACCGTACCGCGGCTCTACCGACTGAGCTATCCGGCCGCTTCTTCTCTCCTAAATAGTGAACAGTTCTGAACCGTGACACATTTAAATATGCTAAAATTAAATTACTATTTGTAATAAATGTTCAATTAAATCATCATAATTATGAAACTAAAACGCACTTTTTCCCATATGTCAAATTTTCAATCCAAAATACGGCATCAGATTGTTCCCCAATTTTCGTATGGAGTATTTTCATTGGTCTGAGGTTTTACTAAGTGTTACTCTTTACTGACGGCATATTACTAAGTGTCCCATGCATTTCAATGTAAATATATGTGACGCGCTCAGCGATTTTTGGCCCAATTGATTTTTAATCATTGTGAGAAAAACGCTTGTAAAGTCACGCGAGTTTGCATGTCTTAATTTTTAGGGTTTCCCTTCAAAACAGAGTATCTTTGAAAGTAGAAAGAATAAAATAAACTAGAAAGAAATCAAAAAATACTTTTTGAACAGCCCTTCTCAGCTTCCACGATAAACATTTCCCAAAAATCTATATTTAGAATAAATACTCTGTGTAAACTTAGGAGTCAGCGAGTAAACACATGTAGATTCACTACCTTTTACGTCATGTTACTGCATATTTGGAGGTTTAAATAAATATAAAGGTAAGTGCATATTTTATTATTTATGCTTTTTCTGTTCATTATTTTTTTCTGATATGTTGAATATGAATAATCATCGTATTTTTACTTTAAACAATAAAATAAATGGGACCATGACACTTGAACTGGTTTATATAAAAAAAACATGGCCGGCATCTAGGTCAGGTCATGACAGACACATTTTTTGGGATAGATCTACATTGTTTATGCACTCGATTTGTATTTGTCATGGTCTTTATAGAAAGTTATTGTTAACTTTCTTCTAAATTAGACATTGATTACATTACAAAATAAATTGAAGTCAAGGCTGCAATAAAAGAAAAATAAAACAAAATTTGGCACTTCATTTTACAGTATTTTTTCTACATCACTTTGACAAAAAATGTAATTGGACACATAACATATTTTGCAATTTGTTTACAATGAATGAGCTTGACATAGATCTACATCAAGTAGATTTATACTGTATAAAATATTTTTAAAAAAGGAAATATATGACAAGGCTTCAGTACAGTACTGTAATTATTGACAAATGAATTTCTATTACAATTCAAGATCAATTTAGTAAAGGAAATGTTATCCTTGTACTGCATGCTGCTTTTGAAATACAATAAATAGATCTAGTACTGTGATTGAAGATGTGGACCATAGATAAATATTAAAATGCATTTATTTTTATTAGCCCTTTGCCTTTGGTAGTATCTACAATAAATCATATTATATTCACATTACTCATACCACATGGCATATTCTACCAGCAGGGTTTCCATTAAATTCCAAACATTGGCAGTCAAAGACTGCAAAATGTATGTAATTGGAAGTCACTTTGTAGGTAAAGAAGGAAAAGCATTACATTTTGGAAGCCAAAATCAAGGTGTAAATGACTCCCAAACTTTAATAACAGAAGCCCTGCTACTAGGATATTTTTAACATTCATGAGCCAGCACTTTTTGCTGATGAAATATTTTGTGTTGTTGTTTTAGGTCTGACAGCCAACACACATTTAAGGTCTTCAACTTAGTTCATCAGAGTTTTGAAGTAGATAATATGATTATCCAGCATGTTGGAGCCATATTCTTCAAGGAAATGTACTTGTAAGTGTTTTGATCTTGGTTTAAAGATCAAATGATTTACTATGAATGTAATCTTTGTATACATATGTAAATACTCATCATAAACTGACCATTCTCAACCCTTTTTATCAAATAATGATATTGATAAAATTCCTGAAATGCAGTTGAATGTAATGTAACTTATTTGCAATTTAGCATTTTATATATATCAGATGAGATCTTAAAAATATTGTTTTAAAGTTACATACATAACTCTGTACAGTAACATGAACTAAATTTTAAGTTTATATTTAAAAATAATGCTGTATTGTTTTATGCAAATACTCTGTCAATAATGTTAAGCTCTTAAAAAATATATACATAATTTTCAGAAGACATAGATAGTTCACCTGTTTGCTGATGAATTTACTAAACTATTGTTGGAAATGAGGCACAATGTGTGACATAGTTCTATGCCCTATTGAGCACCAGGGTTATGGAGTAAAAAAGACAATCACTTGTATCAACTGTACTGTATTGGTCAAGATAAAAAACATTTCAATTGGGTAAGCATGTATATTTATGCAATATTCCAGATTCTCTTCACTTTTGAAATAAAGAGTGCGGTGTTCCAACCACAATACATGCACATATGTAGATTCAGATTACTTTAGTCATGTTCAAGATGAATGTTACTGCCACTTGTACATGATATATAGACTGTAATATATTACACAAGAACTTACATGATGAACAAGACATTATATGAACCTAATAGCTGTGCAACACTATACAACAATTTACTTTTAGTTCATTT